ACACCCGGCTAAATTTTTGATTTATTGTAGAGATGAGTTCTCGCCAAGTTGCCCAGGTGGGTCTTGAACCCACGGGCTCAGGCAATCCACTCACCTCAGCCTTCCAAAGCGCAGGATTACAGGCTAAGCCACCGAGCCCAGCCTGTAGTTTTGTTATAAAGGTCTATCACTTCTCTGGTTAGGAAGATGCCGAGATATTGTGTGTGTGTGTGTGTGTGTGTGTGTGTGTGTGCGTGTGTGCGTGTGCGTGTGTGTGTATTATGAATGGAATGGTGCTTTTTATTTTGTTCTCTGCCTGTTGTTGTTGGTATATATATATAAGAATGCAACTGTCTTTTACACATTTATTTTGTACCCTGAGACTTTGCCAAAGTCCTTTATCAGTGCAAGGAGGTTTTTGACAGATTCCCTTGGGTTTTTGAGGTATAGGATCATATTGTCAGCAAAAAGGAATAGCTTAACTTCCTCTTTTCCTATGTGGATACGCCTGATTTCCTTCTCTTGTCTGAATGCTCTAGTCAGGACTTCCAACAATATGTTGAGCACAAAAGGTGAGAGTGGGGAGCTTTGTTTTGTTCCAGTTTTCAGGGGAAATACTTCTAATTTCTGTCTGTTTAGCAGTATGTTGGCTGTGGGTTTATCATAGATGGCTGTTACTATTTTCTCTATGCCTAGGTGTTCAAGGGTTTTTATCAAGAAGGGATGCTAGATTTTATCTAAAGCTTTTTCTGCGTCTAATGATATAATCATGTCATCTTTGTTTTTACATCTGGTGATGTATTTAATTACGTTTATGGTGTTGTGGATGTTGAACCAGCCCTGCATCCTGAAGATGAAGCCTACTTGGTCATGGTGGATGGTTCTGAGCTGTAATTACTAACCACTGTTGAAAAATCCTCCCTGGACTATACTGTTTTGGTGGCCACCTTCCCTTTTCTCTGCTCCCCTTTACAGCAAAAGGACCTAGGAGCTATCTATACTTGCTGTCTCTACCCTGTGTCCATTCTCTCAGATCTACTTCATGCAGGCTCTTGTCCCATGACTTCAATGAAATCATTCTTATTAAGGTTACCACTGACCTTGACCTTATTAAATGCTAGTGTTCATTTTTCTCAGTCTTCATCTCATCTGGCCTATAGCAGCTTTTGACTCATATGAGTGTTCTCTCCTTTTCTAAAAAGTAAATTTTATAGTATATATTTGAAGTTTACAACATGATGCTATGGGATACATACAGATAGTACAAGTTACTATAGAGAAGTTCACATGGCTACTTTTCTGTAACAAGAGCAGCTGAAATTTAATTATTTTGCAAACTTCCCCAACACATACAATGTTCTTAACTCTAGTCCCCATGCTGTGCCTTATGCCTCTAGACTTGACTGTCCAACGTACCTGGCACTTGGTATCCCTTGATCTACATCTCCCCATTTCTACCCCTCACCGTGCCGCATCCCTGATAACTACTGTTTTACTTATTTGTACTGATAAACATACCACCGTATATCTGACTTTTTTTTAAGACTGCACATTTGAGTGAAATCACGCAGTGTCTGTCTTTCTGGGCCTGGCTTATTTCACTCAGCATGAAGCCCTTCAGGTTCATCCATGTGGTGGCAAGCGGCACACACGCCTTCTTTTCAAAGGATGGCCGTATTTCACACATACCTGCCACATTCTCAACAGACAAACCCTGGCTATTGTGAATGCTGCTGCAATGAACATGGGAGTGCAGATAGCTTTACAAGTGGGGTGACCGCATCTCCTTTGGGCCTATACCCTGAGGAGGGATTGCAGGGTCCTGTGGTAGTTCTCATTGATTTCTTTGGGAACTTCCATACTGGTTTTCATAATCACTGCGCCAACCTACATTCCCACTCCCAGTGTATGAGGGCTCCCTTTTCTCCATTTGTTATTTCTCATCCTTTTGATAATAGCCATTCTAAAGGTTGTGAGCTGATATCTTATTGTGGTCTTGAGGTGCATTTCCTTGATGACTGGTGATATTGAGAATCTATTCTCAGCATATCAGTCCATATATTCCTTCTAAAACAGATGTTAACAAATTATGGCCCAGGAGCCAAATGCAGCCAGCTGTCTCTTTTTGCAAATCAAGTTACAAAAAGTTAAGTTGTTGCAGCAGTGACCATGTGATCCACAAAGCCTAAGATATATA